GGAGCAATACACTGCCTTTATTAAAGTATGAAATCAGTAATGACTGCAGATCATATTCAATAGTGAGATGCAAGCTTTGGGTGAACAAGTCTACAGAGGCTTCTCTAACTATGGATACTATCTATAGCTCCCCTCACATTATGTCTTCTTGCTATGAAAGGATAGGTGGTAATGGAGAAGTGCATTTGGATAAGTACATTGACTACATAAAAAAGAAGAAGAAATGTCTCAGACCCCTCCTGCAACCGGATTCCCAAGCACAATTTAAACACTGGACAGAACAGCATGAATATCAGTCACAGGCAAACTGCAGAGCAGGAACAACAAACTTTGGGATATGACCAAAAAGAGTATAGCAGTAGGAATATACTATCAACCACCTGACCAGGATGGTGACAGTGACTGTGAAATGGTCATAGAGATTAGAGAAGCTACAAAGGCAAAAAATCCAATAATAATAGGGGATTTCAACTATCCTCATATTGACTGGGTATATAGCACCTCAGGAAGGGATGCAGAGATAAAATATCTAGACATCATAAATGACTGCTTCTTGAAGCAGTTAGTCCTGAAACCCACAAGGGGAGTGGCAATTCTTGATTTAGTCCTAAGCAGAGCACAGGATCTGGTCCAAGAGGTGAATATAGCTGAATCAGCAAACAATATCAGCTGATAACAGCAAACATAATGTAATTAAATTTAACATCCTTGTAGGGTGAAAGAAACCCACCACAATAGCACTGAACATCAAAAAGGAGAACTGCACAAAAATGAGGAAGCTAGTTAAACAGAAATTAAAAAGATCAGTCACAAAGGTGAAATGCCTGCAAACTGCATGAAGACAATTTAAAAAGACCATAATAGAAGCTCGAACTAAATGTATAACCCTTTTTTTTTAAAGAGGACCAAAAAAAATGGTATCATACCTCAACAGCAGAATAAAAGAAGTAATTAGAGGCAAAAAGGCATCCTTTTAAAATTGGAAGTCAAATCCCAGTGAGGACAATAGAAAGGAGCATAAACTGTGGCAAGCCAAGTGTAAAAGTATAATAAGGCAGGCCACGTAATTATTTGAAGAGCAACTAGCTAAAGACACAAAAACTATCAGCAAAAAATGTTTAAGTACATCAGAAGCAGAAAGCCTGCCAAACAGTCAATGGTGCTACTGGACAATTGAGATCCTAAATGAGCACTCAAGGAAGACAAGGCCATTGCGGAAAAGCTAAATGAAATTTTTGTATAGATTTTCACTGCAAAGGCTATGGGGGGAATTCCCAGACCTGAGCCATTCTTTTTAGGTGACAAATCTGAAGTATGTCCCAGATTGTGGTGTCAGTAGAGGAGATTGTGGAAGAAATTGATAAATTAAACAGCACCAAATGGTATTCACCTAAGAGTTCTGAAGAAACTCAAATATGAAATTGCAAAACTACTAACTGTGGAATGTAACTTCTCTCTTAAATCAATCTTTGTACCAGATGACTGGAGGGTAGCTAATGTATTGCCTATTTTTAAAAAAAGGCTCCAATGGTGATCCTGGCAATTACAGGCCAGTAAGCCTAACTTTAGTACCAGGCAAATTGGTTGAAACCATAATAAAGAACAGAATTATCAGACATATAGATGAACAAGATATGTTTTGGGGAAGAGTCAACATGTTTTTTGTAAAGGGAAATCATGCCTCACCAGTCTGTTGGAATTCTTTGAGGGGGCCAAACAAACATGTGGAAAAGGTTGATTCAGTAGATATCATGTACTTGGACTTTCAGAAAGCCTTTGACAAGGTCTCTCACCAAACTTAAGCAAAATAGGCAGTCATGGGATAAAAGGGAAGGTCCTCTTATGGATCAATAAGTGGTTAAAAGATAGGAAGCAATTAGTGACTAGGCAACAAAATGGCAGATGAAAATCAATGTTGATAAGTGCCAAGCAATGCACATCGGGAAAAAAATCCCAACTATACATACAAAATGATGGGGTCTATATTAGCTGTTACCGTTCAAGAAAGAGTGCTTGGAGTCATCATGGATAGCTCTCTGAAAATATCCTCTCAATGTGCAGCAGCGGTTAAATAAGCAAACAATGTTAGGAATAAGGATAGATAGCAAGACTGAAAATATCTTAATGCCACTATATATATCCATGCTAATTCCCTCCCTGAATAATGTGTGCAGTTCTGGTCGCTCCATCTCAAATAAGATGTATCGGAACTGGAAAAGGTGCAGAAAAAGGCAACCAAACTGCTTATGGGTATGAAACAACTTCCACATGAGGTAAGATTAAATAGACTAGGATTGTTTATTTTACAAAAGAGATGACTAAGGGAGGATATGAAAAAGGTCTATAAAATCATGAATAGTATGGAGAAAGTGAATAAGGAAGTGTTATTTATCCTTTCCCATAACAACAAGAACTAGGAGTCACCTGATTAAATCAATAGGCAGCAGGTTTAAAACAAACATCAGGAAGTACTTCTTTACACAACGCACAGTCAACCTGTGGAACTTGTTGCCATGGAATGTTATGAATGCCAAAAGTATAACTGGGTTTAAAAAAGAATTAGTTAAATTCATGGAGGATAGGTCCATCTATGGCTAGTAGCCAAGATGGTCAGGGACGCAATTCCATGTTCTGGATGTCCCTGAACCTCCAACTGCTAAAAGTTGGGACTGGACAACAGGAGATAGATCACTTGAAATTGCCCTGTTCTGTTCTTCATCTCTGAAGCATCTGACACTGGTCACTGTCGGAGACAGGATACAGGGCTAGACAGACCATTGGTCTGACCCAGTATGGCTATTCTTATGTTCTTATGCCACCATACCAGAAGAGAGACAAATAATCCTGACAGATTGCCATCAAGATAGTTGACCATATGGTAAATCAAAGGCTTTGATTTACTTGTAAACCAATTATAGTGTTGTGGATGCAGTGAAGGTATCCATGCTCTGTTGCAGCAACACATCATAGGTCTTCCTATGAAACACTTAGGTCTGCTGCAACAGTGAAGTGCTTACATTCACATGCAGTAATACAGCACTGCATATGAGAGAGAAACTCCAAATGTGCTGAACTGCAACAAAAATTACTGCAGTTCACCAATAATATTAGGAAAAACGTTAACAATAAGAGTAGTTAAGCTCTGGAACAGGCTTCCAAGGCTACGTCTTCACTACTCGCCGATCCGGCGGGTAGCAATCGGTTTATCGGGGATCGACTTACCGCGTCTCGTGAGGACGCGGTAAAATCGATCCCTGATCGCTCTGCCGTCGACTCCGGAAATCCACCTCGACAAGAGGCGGCAGCGGAGTCGGCGGCAGCGCGGCAGCGGTCGGCTTTCCCCCGTCCTCACCACCAGGTAAGCCGACCTAAAATACGCAACTTCAGCTACGGTATTCACGTAGCTGAAGTTGCGTATCTTAGGTCGGAACCCCGCTGTAGTGTAGACCTAGCCCAAGAGAATTGTAGAATCCCCATCATTGGAGTTTTTTAAGGACTGGTTGGACAAATACTTGTTGGAGTGGTTTAGGCATAGTTTGGTCCTGCCGCAGCGCAGGAGGCATGACTAGATGATCTCTCAAGGTCCCTTCCAGCTCTACATTTCTATTATACTATTAATACTCAAGGATGATGTGGATTTATTCTGGTCTGGATCACACAGTTATAGTGACTAATCCAATGAATTATCCAGACCCCACAGCCCTACAAGCTTCTTAAAAGTGATGTATTACCAGTATTCCAGAAACATGTCACAGTTCAATTACTGTAAGATTTGTTCCCTACCCTTCATCTCCCATTGGAGATAACTACCCCAAAGCAAGTCCTGCATAAAATAATTAGATCCAATATGTTAACACACCACTTTGTCTTTCATTCCTACTCCTACTTTGTCACAGCAGCAGTAATAAAGGTTCATAGAAAATCATAATCACATTATATACCAGAATAGCATATTTAAACACCTCTTATGGAACCAAAGGTTTTGGTGGCACTTAAAAATACATATGGCTTGGCTTTATTATTATTTAATTTATATCCAATATTTCAGAAACCTGGAAAATACAAACATACCTGATATCAGCATGGAAGTAAAGGGAGACCATCTTGCAAAGATGACATATGAAGGGCCTGCCTAGCACCTCTATTGTCATTTACCCCTGTGCCAAGTGGGTGTAAAATCACTACCTCCAATGCAAGTAAGTGGTGAAATCAAATTTGGCAGCATTTAATGCTCACTTGGCACAGGGGTAAATGATTTATGCAAGATGCAAAGCAGGGGGGAATCAGCCCCAGGATGTCCTGATTATGTAAAAGACACAGTCTTAAATTCCAAAGTCCTAGACATTTGACTGAAGCTCAGATGTTCCTCCATTTATTTAAAACTCATATGATCTCCTTATATAGGTGCATAGTGTTTTTGTTTTTTGTTTTAACAGGGTTTTCTGCCTTAGTTGCATTTAAATTAAGCATGATGATTATTTTACCTCACTATGGATTCTCCTTGGCCATAAAGGTAACTTCCCCATGTTTCAAGTGCAGCCAAAGTTAATATGGCTGTATTTTATTCACTTCCGGTTGTGTTGCAATATTACCAATGCCAGAAGTTAAAACCTGCACAAATCCGGGAAAGAGTCTATGTAGCAACAGAAGATCAGTAGGAACATGTTATTACTGGAATGATTTCCAGTGGATATCCAGTAATTTCTTGACATGTTTTGAGAACTTCTGTGTACATCCTGTATTCCTTGTCAGTTATATATCCTATACAGCACCACCTCTATAAAATAACCTAGTCATGAATTTGTTATTGAGCAATCACCCATATAAATCGCTCGACTCTTGCATATATAGTTCATATGAAACATAATCATGAAGGCTGCACAAACCAAGGCTATTAATTCAGCCCTAAATTGATTCTCATTTTCTTTGGCTGCTAATTATCTAGTAGTCTTAGAATATTCTCTCTCCCCAACACTATATGAATAATACTTGACACTCACCTTAAGCTTGATTGTCCCTTTATCTGAGAGAGAGAGAGAGAGAGAGAGAGAGAGAGTTATGGCATTGTGTTATTCTTTCTGAGTTAAAGCACTTACTTCAAAGACAAGTAGGGCTCAGAGGAGGGAAACCGTCATGATGCCTCCAACTGACAGGTCCCCTGATTATGGTTTGATTTAGCGGAAATATTTTTTTCTGCACTGTGCAAAGCCAGCAGCAGAGGTGGGAGGAAGGAAACCATATATAGCTAGGCTCTTCAGTATAAACTTGGCCTGACTGGGTATGTTAATTCATAACTTTTTCTCAGAGTAAACGGCAAAGTGCTCTATGGTTAGAGTACGCAACTAAGGTTGGGGGTTGGCCACAAGGAAGCTTACTAGAATATTTTGCTGCCAAAGAGCTGTCCTTTTCTGTGACTTGAATCATCCTCATTAGACACCCATAAAATCTATTTTGGTGGCTGTATCTTACCATATCTAAGATTTCTGTTTAGCATGTATCACCCACATGTACAAATACCACACCCATCTATGTAGCCAGCACAGCGCAGCTCTCTGCTAACCTGGGACCTAAAATAAGACTGATCCAATTTGCAAGGGGAGAAGGAGAAATATAAAACCAGAGACATTCCCTTAAGGAAAGGAAAACTATTTTAAAGAGGAGTTTTTCTATGGATCATGACTTCTCTTACTGATGAGTGAGGGATTTATGCATGTAGTCCCCATTAGTTGTAATAAAGTTACCCATATAAAAGCCAACTAAGATGACTAGGAACACTCTTAGGCCCACCAAAATCTGGTTCTCTCTTTTCATGGAGGCAGACACAGCCCATAAAATTACAGGCCCTGCCAGACCCAACCACCTCTGGATCACTCTTCTTTATCCCAGCTCAGAAGCTGTTTTAATCAAAGCTTACGAATCAAGAGGGTAGACTTCAGAGATTTCCTCAGTTAGTAGGCAGTCATTAAGATCACAGCATCCATGCTTCTTCTGAGCTTTGCATAGAGCAGTGTTAAACATAATGGTAAAAATTACTGTTGATTGTCTGAGTCCAGTCTACATTACAGCTTCCATCATTGGTAGCACTGCTGAGCATCATTTTCACCAGTGTAATTTGTTTTACATTGTAACAAATTTGTTAAGTGAGACATAGTCAAAGCCCCTTTTGTCTTCCCAGACAGGAAAGATGGATTTGATTTTCAATCCTAAAGGGTATCTAGTTGCACCAAAGTTATCACCTCTCTCTATAATGAAGAGGAAAGTCTCCATGATGGATCTTGAAGGGGGAGAATTTGCCTCCCCACTAAATTCAGATTCAGGGGTAGAAGAATTCTGATGTTTTTGCAGAGATGTCATATTCTTCCTCAAATTCAACCTTATTCTACATATAGTTCCTTCAGTGAGAAAGCTCAGGTTTCCAATGGGAATCTAGATGTCCACTTGACCACTTGAATACTAGTGCATCACCTGCATTTAAGTTCTCCATGTATCTTAGTGTTTCAAAGGCATCAGTGTTGATCATTTCAGACAACCATGAACCAGAGCCAAGCCAGTGCAATCAAAGCTGGGAACATTCTGCACCAATAAATGGTTTACAAATTATTATGGATCCAGCTTCAGCGTTATTAGAAGCCATTCTCTAAAAGTTGCTAAAGAGCTCCCCACAGCACTTTGGCTTGTACACTAGCTCTTACTCAGTTTCCCATAAATGAGAACTTACCCAGAACTGCTCCATGGCCTCGTGCCACTGTTTCTCCTTTGACCACTAGCTGAATCTGGACTGTTGTTTCCTTGATTGAGTTAAAGATGGTCACACTAACAGCTTCCTCTACGCCTGATCGGAAAACAGAAGGTGCTGCTATCAAATAGCCCCTGGGAAATAAGGTTGGAAGTGGATAATCAGTGAAAACAGCAACAAAGTGTGAGGTTATCAAGGTGCCAAACAGCATGAAACTATTTAAAATATTAACATAAAGAAAAGGGCAAAATATCCTGTAATACAGTCACCTAGAGTCTGCCCCCAGGACAGCCACATTGGCAACATGCCAGGAGCTTGGGACTCAGTCTAATATGCATAAAATGGAGCAGATTGCAGTCTGGCTATCTTCACTGGCTTCATCTACTAAAAAAAAAAAAAAAAAAGTGACTGTAATGTTCCATCTTGATCCAACGAGGAGAGGTGGGCCATCACCATAAGAGTTTTGTAGTCTCTGAAGATCAAGTCTTCATATTAATTATGAGGGCAGCTTCCCAGCCAATCTGTACAACACTTTTACATGTTCACACTTTGGGCACCATTTCCCTTGGACCTCACTAATAATCAAGATAGCAGTTCCTGATATGTGTACATTAGTTAATGCTCATTTGCAAAGAGATCCTGTGAAGTTACAGTTTACATCAGCATGCTACCCAAACAATTCCACATGACAAACATCAATAGAACAAATAAAGCAACAAGCGTTAGCTGTAAATTGCAGCAGCAATTTACAGAAAGTGTGATTTGTATCTTTGGCTTATATATAGGATACTAAGTATCAACAAAAATAAGTATTGTACTAATTAGACTTTATAGTACTTTGAAACCAGCACTAAGCTCAATTATTTTATATCACAGCAATATATAGCTGTTTCTCAACTGTACTTTATCAGATATATTCACATTTATAGAACTGCAGTCACACTGCCACGAATAGGAGCCTGAATTACTGGTACAGTTCAACTATAGTGTACTAGTATTGACATCCTAATTATACATACTAACATACACAATTAAGTACAGTCTGATGTATATGAAAAGGCTGATGCACACTGAAGAATTTGGTGACATCAATCAGAGCCCTCCAGTTTAGCATTATATATAACGCCCTGTTTTTAAGCACTTTAGACCACATTTTTAAAAGTGCCTAATTATTTTGGGTGCCAAACTTAACACACCTCAGAGAAACCTGATTTTCAGAAGGTGGGTGCTTCAGCACTTTCTGAAAGTCAGGCTCAATTGGGGTATATTAAGTTGGGCACCTACAAAACTGAGGAATACAAAATCATCAGCCATTTCTGAAAACCTTGGCCTTAATTTCCTCCATCTCTGCCTCTTCCCTGCTTTAAAAGAGGAAGCAGAGGTTAGTGGTAAAAGCTTAGAAATGGGAGTCAGGAGATCTGAGTTCACATTCCCAGTTCTGCTCGTCACTCAGCTTCTGTTAAAATGGCTACATCTTGAACAATGTGTTACCAATTTTTATTGTTTAATTTAAAAAAAATCACAGCTTTGGAAGAAGTATTCTAACAGTCCCACTTTCGCTTTTAAAACTTCCCTGAAAGACTTCACAACCATACATAATAAAATCTTGTGTACAGTTACGATGGGAACGCTTATGATCTTCCCATACTGAATGGCACCATGCCATAAATTTATAGACTGTATGCACTATAGTCTCTTGCATTACAGTCTCCAATGTCTTTGTTGTATGATACTGTAAGCAATACATTTATATCCTCTTTTATGACATCATACATCTTTCTGCTTCTTTCCCCCCCAAATGGAATTTTTTTATAAGATAATTTTTCATGTCACACACTTTAAAACATATTTCAGCCACTTGCCTCACTATGGTTCCAGCAGTTGGGTCACTTTAGTCCATGATTAATTATCACTCTGGGATGAGGTTGATGGTGTTTTACAGCCCCCAAGTCACCTTTTAGCAAATTCCAACCCAGTGTTTCTCTCTCAGCAGGCCTCATTGCCATGGAGATCCCATTACACCCAACATAAGTTCAGCTCTCTATGGTAGTTCAGTCAGATTGCACTGGATACTTAGAACTTAAAGAATTTGAGAATAAACGGTCCTGTGGCCGCAAGTTTAAAAATTCACCAGGTTGCTACCTAATCTGCATATCCTTGGTAAGGAAAACACAGCCAATCTATTTGGAGGAGAGAGAAAAATTCATTTGCATCCAGTACTAAATCATTACTTTCAAACTTTTATTGGAGCAACTTCTGTTGGGGAGAGAAGCTGGTCCAATAAAAGATATTACCTCACCCACCTTGTCTCTCTAATATCCTGGGACCGACAGGGCTACAAAAATACTGCATACTTTTAAACTGTCACATAAGTATTGGTCTGCAGTAATGTATATGAAACATATGTATCCACATCGTTTTAAGCAATTCTAACTTTTTTTCTGGAATATCAGCTTGTTGATGTGGTCTTTAAATTAAGTCATTTAGTAGTGTTGTACTTGAAAATTAAATGTTTAGCTTGGATACTTCTGATGGTAACTTGACAGATCATGCAAGAACTTTTGACTAACGGCTCTGCCAGGTTACACTAAAACTTGGCAGGAACTGGCAGGATGTGAAATATTTTCTAGTAAGCAAGAGAAAATAGGAAGTCTTCATGGCATCTAGTTAAAGCAGCTATTCAGTGTGGACTGGTTACAAACCAACGTAATAAAACAAAGCAAACTTCAATAAAAATTAAACTAAACAAAAATAATGCACAGGAACTAACTGCGTACTCAGTTTCTATAAAGTAGATGAGAAGATTTTCACAGAAGTTAAAAAAAACAAACTCCTCAGATGATTTTCCAGGCAAGAGAGTTTCACATGTTCTTCCAGTAAACACCTCCTTCCAGGACAACTAACAGTACCTCAAACTATTACAATAACCGGTTAGCAGATCACAGCTCATATTTAACATTCCATATTCATACCATTGCATTAAACAAGTATTTGTACATAAATGCTCCCTAACGTTGTGTTTAAGACATTCCAAACAAGTATTACCCGCCCCCTCGAGAGTTTGGATTTTTGCAAAGACCGTTGTATGAGGATTAACTATCAGATATATTTGTTTCCTCCGGCATATTCCTCCAGTTTGCGACCCTGGCTGAGAATGTTGCATGGATCGATTTAGGGTTATTTGTGTTGTGAGCCACAGCTCCTTACACGGGTTTAAAGGTTTCTCCATCTACACACCTCCCCTCCTTACCTGCAGGGTCTGCTCCGTGCTGGGGGAAGGAAAAGGTGGAGATGTTAGGACTACCGCCCGGAGAAAGGGGTGGCATTGCCTTGAGGACTTAGGGGGCTCCCCACATGCCAGCGGTAGGGAGCGATGCCCCAGAGCCAGGCTGCAGACCTGGGCTCTCTACCCGGTGACCCGGGCGCGGTGGGGGCACTGCCCCAGGCCGGTACTTACTGGCTCTCCGGGGGCTGAGCCCCGCACAAGCTGCCGAGGGACAGGAGAATCCACCAGGCGCAGCCGGGCTCCTTGGGGGGCATGGCGCCCCGGGGAGCGGCTCCTTCCCCCAGGGCTGCTAGCTCTGGAGCCCCAGGCCACGGCGCGCTCCCTGCAGCCCGAGCCCGGCCGGGCAGGAGCCTTTGTTCCGGCGAGTACAGCCTCAGCTCCCGGCTCCCGGTCTTGGCTCCCCGGTGCCTCTGGCCGCCGCCCCCTGGCTCCCCCCGCCGCGTCCCCGCCCCCGGGCCGCCCCTCCTGGCCCCGGTGCCCGCTCGGCTCCGGCCCCGGCTCTTTGTCTGCGGCTCCCCGCCTGCTCCTGACAGCATGGACCGGGGGAGGGGGCTGGGACCCCCGCGCCTCCCCCTCCCAGCCCCTGGGGCATGAGCCTCGTACCCCCGCCCTGCCCCCGGGCGGCCTCCCCATCTCCCACGCAGCCCCCCGGGCAGGAACCGGCCTCTCCACCTCGCTCCGGTCCCCTCAGGCAGGGACGCGGACCCCACACACCAGCGAGTCTCTCTCCCGCCCAAGCCCCGTGCATTCAGGGGTAGCCCGCTCCCGCGCCGCCAGGGCACCGGTCCCTGCACGCCCCATCCCGGAGTCCTGGCCCCTGTCATGCCTCCAGAGCTGCCCCCCAGATCCTCCCCTCAGTTACCCCCCTTTAGCTCTGCCCTCTCACCCCCCTCGGGTCGCCTGCCCTTACACCCCAGTCACCCCTCAGCCCTGCCCTAGAGCTGCCACCCCTCTCAGCATTAGAGCCTTCACCCCTCCAC